ATTTTTGATAGGAAACTTATAAGATTTGTTCCCTTCCTCACGGTAAAGAGTTTCGAAGAACTTAGTAGCTTCCCCACAGAGAATATCCTCATCGTAGCATCACTCTATAGTGCTAATCCGCAAAGCTCGAATACTATTAGACTTTCTACGGTAAATAACACCGTTGTGGGGGAAAAAAACTAGTGTTTCGGTCTCCCTCAGCTCGTCAAGTGCTTCTGGACTTTTGTTTCTGTAAGAGCTCTTCATGATAAAGAATCCCTTCAAGCGTAGCACAAAGATCCATCTCAACTATATGTAAGTTATCAAGGTCATATTGCATATTTCTTTAATTTGCGGAGACTTCCCGACATAATTATTAAATCTTATGCCTTGGCTTGGTTTTATGTAAAAAAAGGAAAAAGTTTATTTACTAGTACATGAGTACAAAAATTAATTAATAGTATCTGCTTAATATTTGGTAAATAAAAATATTGAGCAAGGGTATTGCATAATCAACGAAAACTAATCATTGATTTTAGATACAATACTAATTTTTATTTTTTAAATTGATAAATATATTCTTTCATTAAAGTTTTCCAATCAACTCTAGTTTTGGAGATTAAAACAGACTCGTCTCAAAAGAGGGAAAAAGAACCCAACAAGCTTGAGTTTTTCTCGTTTATCAGAATCTTTTATCAGAAATGGTGCAAGTAAATCAAACTTTACATTCAGTTGACTTGCTGTTGAAGTTTGTTTTTCCATATACTCTATATTTATGGTAAGTTTACGGTGAGAGAAGAAGTATAAGAAGATCTAACAATACGTGGCTTTTATCATTTTTTAAATGTCAAGTCGTTCTTTTGTTATTTGGATAAGGAGAGTTAAGGATCAAGGCATCAAAATATATTTAATTGATAACGTAAGGGATCAAAAACCATTTTTTTAATTGATGATTAAAATTGAATGGATTAAAATGATAAAGGACTATCGTTGTAGTTTACCTTTTAAAATTAAATTTTAAAAAATTAACATCTTTATTATCAAGGGTAAAATACATTATTTCTCACTAAAATTTGCTCTCTATCCTGTTTTACACACTATACTTTCATTTTTTTCTAAATTACTCACTGAACTTTCGAATTACTCCTGTTTTTATCACTCTAAATTATTTTATTATTATAATTTTCATATAAAATGATATTTTTTAGTATTATTTAATATAAAAATAATTTTATTATTATTTCAAAGATCAATTTTGATCAACATGATTGACGATGGTGATTATTTTAAGTCTGTTTAAATTTAATAATAAAAATATTTTTTAATATTTATTTTAATTATTTTTATATTAAATAATAATAAAAATGTCATATAATATAAAAATAATAATAAAATAACCCAAAAGGATCAAAATAGGAGTAATTCGAAAGTTTAGTGAGTAAATTAGAAATATTAATGTAAATTATGTAAAATAGGAGAGATAGTATAGTTTAGAGAAAATGATGTAATTTATCCTTATTATCAAACTCAATTCATACTTGAGAGATCTTCGGTTTAACCTTTACTTGATTCCAACTCACAAATTTGGGTGTAGAAAAATTTAGAGAGAAGCCGGATCTCCCTTTTACCCATCACTGGGGCTGCCGATTCTTAGACTCTCCGGTAGATCTCTGTTTCTCCTCCTCACCAAGGAACGCTTCGATCGTTCTCTCTCCATACATCTATTTCCATTTCTCCAACTTTCAATTCTCGAATCAATTGTCCTTTACTAGTTACTCGCAACCTCTCTTACTGGTATTTTCTCACGTTTACTTTTGATCCTTCGTTGGAATAGGCATCTGATGGAAAATTTATCGCAAACTTTAAATCCTTGTAGGAATTAATTGATGTGGGTTTTCTGAAAAACTGCAGTTTGGGAGATGGACATGGAAGAACAAGTAGATTTGGATCACCAGTCGATGATGATCGAAGGTGGTATGCGAATTGATCCAAGGAGGGAACGGTTTCCATGCTGCATTGTTTGGACACCTCTACCCGTTTTTCATGACTGATTCCCTTCATTGGCCACATTGGCATTTGCAGGGAAGATGGAGTTATTCTAGATTTTGCAGGTCCTAATTGCGTCTCTGTTGATGATTTCTCCTTTGGGGCAGTAGCTCGCTATGTCCAGATTAACAAAGATAAGGTATTTATATATGTTCGTCTTCCCTCTCCTTTTTTTGTCTCCGTCGATTTCTACTTCTTCACGAATTTCATTCATTGATTCCAAGGAAGTTGCAATAGGAGAGACGATGACATGATTACTCGATTAAGTAATCAGAATTAGGATTAAATAGATCTAATTGTTGAGATCTGGGAATGGGATTAGATTAGGCTGTTTTGCTTTTCCTTTTACGGGGCTTTGATAGGAAACAATTGTAATAGGCGGTACAAGGTACATTGCAAATTTCTCTGTAACTTGTGGCAAATATGATGGCAAAAACATTTTGAGTATCGGTAGCTAAGCATTGTGTAAATGACAGGAAATAGGTTTCAATTTCTGAATATAATTCATGGCTGCACTTTTTTTGGTAGATTTTCGAGCATAATATAGAGTATTTATACCCAAGTTTAGTTCCAATGAGAGTAATTAAGAGGATTGACATTTGATGCACTGTCATGATATAAATCCAAGCACTGATAGTGAATTCCATAATGCCATCTCCTAAAGACTAAGTATTTGTATTTATTTTAAACTTTATTGATGAGATGTCTTCGTGAGATTTATTATCCCTTTATAGATTTGTACACCGACACTAGGATATAATAACCCTTCATAGAGGCGTGCATTTCTACTTGAATACTACTTTGTTGGTGATTCTTCCTCATTTACGCATGTGAGTTTTTTTTATTCTAGGAATACTGCATTTCCTCTAATTCATCAGCACTGCAAGGAGATCGAGAATACCAGAATGATGACCCAAGGATAGGGACATTAACATGGGATGAGGCACTGGAAAAAGGCATGTTAGAGTTCCAGCAGCGCATGTACAGCCTTTTCACTTGCAATTGCCATTCATTTGTAGCAAACAACCTGAACAGGTTAGGCTTTCGTTCGGGTGGGTGGAACGTAGTGAATGTCGCGTTCTCGTCTTTGTCAAAGGCCGGTGGTTGAGCAAAGCAGCATTTGTTCGATCTTACTTGCCATTTGTCATAGTATCCGGTCTAGGACTTGCATTTGGTGGCACAGCATACTTGTCTTTCTTGGCCCTCATTGCATTCATTCTTGTTTGGTTGGTTCCTTCTTGGTACTTACTGTTTCAAGAATATAATCTATACGTAGCTTCTACCAAAAACCAATACCAAAGAATGAATGGAAATATTTATTTATGTGCGACGTTAATTTGAGTTGATCACATATTTCCTTTATTCTATAAAGTCTAGTTTTAATTTTACCAGTTGTGAATCTGATGTAAATTGACCTTATTTGTTTCTAAATCTTATATTTTAGTCCAATATTATTATTTATAATATTATAATGTTTTTTAGTTTTTCATTTAACTTATAACTATTAACATTATAAAAATGACTCATTGCAATGGTCTAGATTCCGTAGTTATTTGGATTACAAATCACAATACATTCGTTTCCTTCACTTACTCGCATACTTCATACCGAACAAAAAACATTAATTTAGTGAGTATGAAGTGAAAAAGAAACAGAAAACACATAAATTTTCAAAATTCATAGCAAAATATCAGTACAGACTACAACCAGGAGATGAGAGTGCGGAGAGGTCAAACGACAGAATGACACTGAATCCATACATGTTAATTGTTATCGCCATCCACTAGAGATGCACAGAAGCCGGATTTCAATCCGATCCGGATCGGATAAAAACCGATCCGGTTTTTTCTCCCAACCTAAAAACCGGATTTTAAAAAAATCGGTTCGGATCCTAACCGGTTTAGAGGGTCGGATGGTATAACCGGTGTAACCGGTTTCGGTTTGCAAAAAACCGGTTTTTAAAAAAAACCGGATTTTTTCGGATAAAAAACCGGTTTTAAAAAAAACCCGGATTTTTCGGATAAAAAACCGGTTTTTTATCCGGTTTGAAAAAAACCGGTTTTTAATCCGGTAAAAAACCGGTCGTTCAATTTTTTCTCAAACCGGTTATACTATCCGGTTTTTAAATATCCGATCCGGTTTAAAAAAACCGGTTTTTCCAAAATCCGATTTCAGATATTTTTTACCCAAAATCGATATTCGAATTTTTTGTGCACCTCTACCATCCACCTCGATATCATTACTCTTTACCGAGTTCAAAAGTTATCTCCTCATGGTTGGGGCAGCTAAAGATCAACAGACTTCAAAAATTTTCCCTCCATGCAGCAATTGATATGGATAGACGCATGATTTTATATAGGGATAACGGATTTCTAAAATTTCAAGGAACAAAAATAAATTATTGATATAGAATATAAAAAAATATCTAAAATATAATAATATAATAATTTTAAGAGAAGCGACTGCTCTGATTTGTTCCACTCTCGTCCATCCTCAGCAGCCGATATCTACTATTCCTTGCGAAGTCCGTTTGGGTGTAGCTGCAATTTATCAGCAGAATTTGTACCACCACCTTCAGGTTGCCGCATCAGCATGTCGAATCTTCCTGGTTGTTCATCAACAATGGCCTTTAAATCGAGTTAGTATTTTCTTAATTAAAATTGTCATGAGATATATTCTAATTGGCCAAGAAGACAACGTGTTTTGCGATTGAGATGTTCTTTTCGTTACATTACATGGGAATATTGGTACGGTACACTCAGTTCCATATAATAGTGGCAAAATCGTAATTCAAGCAGAATCTAGGTCTAGGGCCCATTTGCCACACCCTTGATCTTCTTATTTAATTCTACACAATAGAGCTGCAGAGGAATAGTATGTTCATTTTTCTATTAAAAAAAGAAAATCTTTTTGAAGATCTAGCAGACAATGGCAGCAGATGAAGGACAAGTGATCAGTTGCCACACTATTGATTCATGGAAGGCGCAACTTCAAAATGCAATGAATCCAAACAGCTGGTATTTTGTTTTATTTTATTTATTTTAATTCTTCACATATGGATCTGATCTGTTTTCATTTGCTTCAAATAATATTATATTTTCTGTCACTTGTTTGTTTCCTATGCATGGATTTAAAAAAAATCCCAGTTAATCTAATATTAGTCAGTCGATTTCACATATTAAAACTAGGATCGTGTGGGAAAGGTGATTAATTTATTATATTTTGATGACATGTCGTATATTGTTTGCTAAATAGCAAAAAGAAAAACCGTCAATTAGAGGAGTTTAGGGTTTTTGTGTGCATCAGATTAAGATTTGATGTGTTTATTTCTAAGGAAATTCTGTTATAGCCCGAATTAAGTTTTGTAGCGTGTTTTTCAATTCTTGGAAACAAAGTGCTAAACAAAGATATGGTAACAGACTAATGTTATAATCTTGAGATTAATAAATTTTAAGGTTGGCAACTGTTGGTGGTGAATTGGTGATGACTAATCAATTACAGATGTTAATGGTGATGTTGATATTTGCTTCTTTTTCTCCATTAACTCAAATCATTCTCTACTTTTGCTTCTTCATAAATGGTAAATGCATTACTGCTTATACGTTACATGCAGATGTGGTTGATTTCACTGCCTCATGGTGTGAACCCTGCCGTTTTATTTCACCCTTTCTGGCTGAACTGGCCAAGAAGTTTCCTAATGTCATGTTTCTCAAGGTGGATGTGGATGAATTGAAGGTAACATATATGCTGAAGATACTATTTTTTTCTCCATTTTCTATTATTATTATTTATTATTATTATTATTATTTTATATATTATTATTATTATTATTTTATTTATTATTATTAAAATTATTATTACAAACAGGCCAAGTCCGACCCAACCCAGACAGGCCCAAATACATCAAAACATAAAGCCCAACAGTGACCCAAATACGGTGGCCCAGACCTAAAGGCCCAAATGTGTAACCTAAACCCATTTAGGGTTTGTATCTCAGCCCCAACCGCCATCAGCTATCCACCATTGGATCTGACATGATCCAACGGTCTATACGCGTCCAGATGATACCAACAGCAAACCCTAGGGTTATGATACGCTAGGGCCATGACGCCGGCCGCCTCTCTGACACCTCCATCAACCGCTGCCACGCTTCAACAGAAACATCCAGAAGAAGCAAGGAACGCCGTCCACGTTTCAACCATGGGGTGAGTCACCACCTACGGTTTGGTGACTCACCGAACTCCACCCTTGGGACCAGTCCGAAGCAAGCTCCGTGGTGGCCTATAAAACCACCACCGAACCTGCAAAGAAGAACAGAGGCAACCAACAGAGAGCAACAAAAAAAAACAAAAGCAGAAAACAAAGAAAGAAGAAAGAAACTTACCCTTGGAGCCTTGACCATCGCCGGAAGCACTAAACATCGCCGGAGAACAGAAAATACAGAAGGTATTTTCATAGATCTACTCCGATTAAAAGTCTTTTTGGGGAAACAAAGGTCGGAATCGACCTTGGGGAAATTAGGGTTGTATTTTAGTGTAAAAAAAATTTTCCCGGCCACCGAGGACGGTGGCCGACGACGGGGTTAACGTCGGCGAACGGCTGCCGGCCGGTGCCATTCTCTCTGTTTTAGAGAGAAGCAAGAGAGTTCTAAACTGTCTCAGAGAAGAGAGAGAGAGAGTGAAAGTGAGAAATGAGAGCTGGCCCTTCGGGCCAGCCGGTTAAGGACTTAAATAGCCCTCCCCAAACGATGTCGTTTTGGGGAGGGGTCTGTCTGTAATTAATTAAAAGTTAAACCCTTTCCGCAGTCATCCTAATTTGTAATCCTTACATTTTAGTCACTAAATCAATTTATAATACTTTTAATTCGGTTCTTTAATTTTAATTTTATTTATTTTAGTCCTTTATATTAAATAATATATTTAGGATAAATAACGTATTTAGTCCTTTAATTTTAATAATTGATATTTTAAACCCCGAACAGCATATTTCAATTTATTTTAATTTGATATATGAATTTTATATAATTTTAGTTTAGTCACTAAATTAATAAATAAGGGGAATAGCATGTTTAGTCACTCAAATTTTAAATAATAAATTATGAATTAGGTATTTAATTCTATTAAGTTACAATTTAGTCATTAATTTCAATTTTTATTTATTTTAAATATATAGTTTTAATTTTGTTCATTGTTTAGTTATATGTTAATTATTACTATTATTATTATTATTATTATTATTTAACCATAAATACATATATTTGTATAATAAATAATATGTATCTTATTTATTAAAATCTTAGTTAATTATTTTTAACTTATTTTAATCCTATTTTAATATTTATTTATTTTCCAATATTAAGAAAGAGCATCTTAAAATAACTGGATTTCCATTTTCTGATATTTTTAAATAAATAAATATCTTATTTTATAAATTATATATTAATTGTTTTAATTATTTATTTATTTTTTTAATATCAAAGAAAAGAGCTGTCTTAAGGCACCTAGAAGTCATTTTCTGATATTTTTAAATAAATAAATATTTTATTTATAAATATATATAAATTAATATATATTTTTCATAATTATAATCTTAAAATAATAGGATTATAAATTAAATATATTTTGAATTTTTAATTTCTAATAATAGAGACAATTTCTAATTAAAAAGTACCAATTTTTGGCGTTGTACGGTTGCTAATCCTTCCCTAAACGTAACCGACCACGAATCCCTTTTTATTATTAAAAAGAACGATTTTTTGGTTAAAACGCAGATCAGTTTATCTTTTAATCGATGTTTTCTTAATAACTCTTTTAAAGGATGATTTTTAGGATTCGACCTACCTGACCCAAAAGGCCGATGGCGACTCCCAAATTATTTTAAAAACCATTTATTCACATCACTTTTCCCGCCAAGTAAAAAATTCGTGCCCGTACGAAAACCGGTTACGACAGCTTGGCGACTCCGCTAGGGACGCTGGTCAAACTTTTAAAATTAATTATAAATTGTCTCTATTAATTATAAATTTAAAATTCATATATTTAATTTATAATTCTTTCTTTTCAAATTTTTTATATACTTATTATTTTTATAGTATTTATATTTATATTTATATTTCATTTTACTTGCAAGTATTTTATTTCATTATTTATTTTTCTTTCAAAGGTTTGAACATTTATTTATTCTCCGTGGGAGTGAAAGCGACGTCTTCGTGAGAATTTATTCTCCGTGTCAAACCTAGTAAGTAACTTTCGGGGTTCATATGCTCTATGTCTTCGTGAGAATTTATTCTCCGTGTCAGGCATAGAGAAGTGTATCCCCTCAAATTGAACTCGATCCACTTTAGTCTGTGATGGACTAGGATTGAGGGTTAGCAACCCAAGGGGGCACTAACAAGGATAATTCGGGTAACTTTATTCTTAGATCTAAAACCCTGTATATAATAAACCCTAGAAACTCTTCCGATCTGAAGCCATGCCGAAATTTTGTCCAAAATAGGTGTACACACAGGAGAAATGAATTTTAACTTTTCCTTTTAATTTATTTATTTATTTTCTTACTGAATAAATTGCATGTGAATTTAAATTATTTAAAATATGAAGAAAGCATGTTTAAATAAGGATATTTAGGTAGACATTATTATTAAATTATTTTTTTTTTTATTATGTAAACTAATTTATTTCTTTTTGTGTGTTCTTTATTTCTTCTGTTTGCATAGCATCATACATGATAAAAGGCATTGATCCTCGTGTTAATTGTCTCATTGGAAAACCTTCATCCATGAATAAAAAGTGTTCGAATCAAATAGTTCTAAACTCAGAAGTAAGACAGTGGGCTGAGGACTTACAAAGACAAGGAGGAAACAGTCTGCAGGATGACTATGTATCTGACTTAGCTAGTTATGCTCCAGTTTCGCTAAAAAGAAATGATATGCAAGATTTGCGAGACATTTGGGAGAGTTGGGACTCAAACAAAAAGTTGCAGTTTTATCAGACTTACGGAGACATTCCATATTTGCTCTATGTTGAAGTTAATGATGACTTACTTCGAGCCCTAATTCAATTCTAGAATCCAGGGTACAATTGCTTCACTCTCAATAAAGAGGACTTGGTCCCTACTATTGAAGAGTACACAACTTTGCTACATATAGAAGGGGCTTTGGAGAATCGAATTTATTCAAAGTCAATTAAAACTCAACCTTTTCGAGTTAAATTAGCAAAGATTGTTGGAGTACGAGAGGAATGGGTGGCATCCCGTACAAAACAAAAGGGCGAAAGCGAAGGCATTGCTTGGACCAACATTACAGAACTTATTTAGAGTCATCCAGACACTAAAGTACGATTCGATCTCTTTGCTCTGAGTATGTATGGTATGATCATCTTCCCAAAAGTATTGGGATATATTGAAGCTGCAGTAGTAGATTTGTTTGAGCAGCTATCAAAAAGGATTAATCATGCTTCTGCAATTCTAGCAGAACTTTCAGATCATTAAACGCTTGTAGAAAGCTATGAGGTGGACGATTCTCAGGGTGTACCCAATTGTTAGACGTATGGATCCGTAGCCATTTTTGGAGGACAGAAAAGGTTTCATACCGGCGCTTTAATACGACTACTCACCATTAAAAGAATTTCTGGAGCAAGAATGGCCGAAAGAAATTACGAAAGATATGTGGATTAATGCCTTTCGAAATCTGCAAAGCAATGACATTGTTTGGCGAGCCCCGTGGCAAATCCAAAGGGAATTCTTTTACAAATGTGGTTATTACAACTAGATAATGCTGCTCGATTGTGGGGAGGAATCAGATATACACCCCTTTTGGTCATAAGATAGTATGAAGGTCGTCAATTTGTACCTGTCACTGCTGGATTACATTCGTCTGAGTTCGCATTCCACAGCAAAAATTATAAAAGAAATATCATGGAGGCCTTTACAGCTTGGAAAACAACTTTTTGTATCCGAGCTAAAGCAGCAAAAGAAATGCTAACTCCTGATTATGAGGAATGGAGATCTGTCAGGAAAAATGAAAATATTCCTCTACCAGACCAAAATGAGGATATCTCTATGGAAGATCGCATTAAGGTGGTTCCATCAGAGATTGAAATCCTGAGAGCTAATTTTGAAGCAGAAAGAGAAGATTGGTCAAGAGAATTAGAGCAAATGAGACGATAAAGCTATGTTGGGTGTTGACATTGATTTTCATTCATCACAATGTGCAATGTTGAGAGAAAACAAAGAAAAAGTTGATGGTGAATTCAGAACATTAAAGAAAAATTACCAGGAGTTATATAAATCCCGGAAAACATCAGGACCGAACCGATCAACAGTACAGATGACCAGAGATTTGAACATCGAGAAAAATCGAGTTGAAGATCTGAAAAGAAAGAATAGCCGTCTACTCAAAAGCCTTGAGAAAGGAAAGCAAAAAATGGAAGATTTTGAGGTTGACAGAAGAGAGCGAATTATAAAACACAAAGCTGAACACCGCGAGATCATGGATGAAATGCAAAGAGAAAGGGATCGAGCCAAAGATTTAGAAGAGATGAAGAATGACATCTTTGATAAATTTGAAGGTGAGAAAAATATCATGTTCAAGGGTTTGAATCTGAAATGAACCATCTGATTGCCGAACTTGAAGTCAGGGGCCAAAGGATTGAAGAGTTCAATGTTGAAAAAGAAAAATGGGAGCTGGAAAGAAAGAATTTCAACACCAAACTTGAGGTAGAGCAAGAAGTGGCTAG